TGGCCGCGAAACGAAAGCACTTCAATAATAACGATAAAATGGAAACAAGTGTGACACGTGGAACACGGAACCCCTAAAATTGTTACCGTAGTTGTGTAGATTCAGAACCCTTGCCATCTCGAGGTCCGAGACACTGCACCAACGTCAATCGGCGGAGAACGATTATGGAGTTTAAAAATGTGATGGTACCGGTAGAGTCAGAGTTATTTTATTTGTCACTTCAACAACAAAATATCTGTAATAAATATATATTGAAATGACAAGTGCTGTGAAGGACAGAATGATTCGTCATCGAGTCCACAGCACATGATTTGGCAGTATCGGGACTAGATGTGGGTAATTTGCTAATGACACCACAGAGAATGATAACCCTCTATAATGACACCTTAATAATTACCTCAATGGGAGGTATAAGTTAGAGCGGGGGTTTTTAAACCTTTTTTCAGGACGACCTTAAAGACAACTTGGCACTCAAGTGTCCAGTGCGACCCCAGGTCAATATATATATTTTCATGAAACTTTAGAGCTTTTTTTACTGGACTTTTGAGTTTGGTCATGTGGTGGTATTAGGTATAAAAAGCTAAAACCGAACATTGATGTCACAATAAGCACTTACATTTTCTATAGCATATGCATAGAGCGATGCCTATTGGCCTGTTTTACAGTAAACCATGGCACAAACTGCTAAATTTAACATGGTTTGTCAAATCTCAGATGTTTTGTACATCCATCCTCTACCCAGGGATGGTCAATACCAAATAGTTCACTATTACGAATATATTCAAAATTATTTTTTTCGAATATGAAATTTCGAATACTTCGAAAATAAAATCCACTAATTGAAGCTTATCTAAATGTATGTAGGAATTTCCATAAAATAAGCAATGGAATAACTGCTATCTACAAGTTACAACATAGCTATATTACCAGGCATTTCATATTTTCAGATTATTGCAGTATATATTTTACATACCATGAGTCATGTAAACAGAATTAAATTAATATGGCAAGGCATTTTAAACAGTGGTATCGGTGATGGATTGGAATATTTTCGCAACACAAAATCATCCTAGTAAAAAGCCCATACTTTTAAATACCAACCATTATCCAAATTATTTGCTAAAAAGCGGGATAAAGTATGAGTTATTTTTCCGACTAGTGACAATTTTTTCGATACGGTAAGTTATGCCGGAGTGGAAAGTAAGTAGCACTGGAAACGATTGAGAGGTGGGAAATCAAGTTGTAGACAGACAGTTGATGTTTTAAAATATAGTCTAGGCCTATAGTCCATACTCATACTGTCATAGGGCATTTCAGACTGTGGTATATCAAAATTTAGTGTAGATATAGTCTAGTAATGGTATGCAAACACTGCAGGACTGTGGTACATGCAATGAGCATATATACGCTCATTGAGTACATCAGATAAAATGCATTATGTATTCAAGGTATTAGTTAGTATTTTTACACTCATGCTGTTCCAAATATGATTTTCTTCCTCATTTTAGATACTGTACTACAAAAGAAGATGGCAATGTTCCACCAATCCGACCTAACGCAGGCTCTAATCCCTGCTGCTATCAGTGCTATAAAATGGATTAAACAAGAAGTCTGGAAGCGTAAAGGTATATGAGAATCATAATAGTTGCAAACAGCTTAGATGGGATATTCATATTGAAATACTGAACTCCTGTCACACAATTAAAGTATTTTTTGTTGTTGGTTACATCTATGCCATATTTTTCGTAATCTACCTAATAAATTATGATTGACTGAGGAAAAGGAATACATTTGTGTCAGTGTGCTGTAGGGCTCTCGAATTGCATAGTTCTTATGTATGTGTTGTGAACTTATGGTTATTGAATTTCCGGGAACCTCTTACATTCAATTTCGCATCAGGATTGTGGAACAAGCTATAATGCGTTCAGTATGTTCATTTTCACACAAAACTGAAGAATTTATTTAGTTACCAGATGTGCGCTACGAAACTCTTTTTCTGGGCGTTTTCAAGGCTTCGTCTCACGGCCATATCCGTGGTAAGGATCTACAGGTGTTTAATAACTTACTTATACATTTTTTAACAACGTCTCAGTATAACTTAACTAATAATAACTAAACAGGGCTATGAAAAGGCTGCCCAACTCAACGCAAGGTCGAGCAGTAATAACTAATATTCATCCGCTCGCTAACAGCTGATTCGATTCAATTGTTACGTCATGCAGAAGTCATTGTTCATTGCTGAAATGTAGAGAATATAGGACAGATCGTACCACATATTTCTTGTAGTAAAAGCGTCTTTTCCGTAAAACGTGCAACTTTTGAAAGTGGGAACAAGGCAATATTTGTTACTAAATTTTTAAGGAACATTTTAAAATTATTTTCAGGTAGTTACCTGATGTGCGCTACGAAACTCACTTTCTAGGCGTTTCGGATAGGATAGGATTTACATATTTATCCCGGGGGAGAGGAAAGCCGATAAGACGGCTTATCCATATGGCGAACCACGGCCTCTCGTCCGGTTACCATTCCAAGTCGGGTATGGGATTAGTTTTACTGTATTGTTTGTTTTCGGAAGCATATGGACTTGGTGGTAGACAACGAGAGGAAGCCGTAACCGACCAGCGGTTACGTGAACCACCCAACGACGGCGGGGAGTCCAGCAATCCTCCCGCACATAACCATCCCTGCATGGGATTCGAACCTGCGAACCCACGCAGAGTAATTAGAGGTGCGGTGGCGAGCGTATTCCTAACGCTTAGCCCGTTGAGCCACACCGCCGCGCGTTTTTCAGGGCCTCGGCCCGCGGCCTATTAGTAAATGTGCTATTCTAATAGTTGAATATTCGAATATATGTCCAGCCCTACTCAGTAACCAGTAATTATTGACGCGATCAATGTCATGTGAATAAAATGACTTTTTATGTTTTTTTGTAAATTCTAACGCAAATCCTAACTTGGCTGATATATCGCAAAAACGTTTGCGGCCCGCAGTGAATTTCTGACTCGTTGCGGACTCATTTAAACGCTCTGCGGACTCATTTGAGACCGCGGACTCGGGTTGGGAAACGCTGGCCTAGGATAATGCAGTACCGGTACCGGCTAAGCAGATATACCGTACGGTACGGTGCCGGTAACTATATAGGCTAATAGCGATAGGTGTCTCTTATTCATCAATTTTTTGGGAGTGCCACACGATATTTTACACGGTTTCAGATTTCAATTGAATTAGTGTAACTGGGTCACTTCAACTCAGCTGGTGTACGGTACCATAGATATTACACTAGAATTTAGGCTACCACTTGCAGACTTCAGGACTTGAGGGTAGGAAGAATTTTTGGGGATTCCTTTTCTACTCTATCAATTTCAGGCATATTAAAAATTATTTTACAATGAAAACAATATAGTCTCAACTCTCAATCAGCGCATGACTAACTCTATACCTAAAACGTGTTTACATATCAGTATATAAGAAACTGTAGTCTACCTATATCTCGGTATCTGTATATTTAATGCTGACAGATGCATAAAGAAATATGAATAAAAAATCAAATGTTTGTAGTGATGTATGTCTATGAATAAAAAGAGGCCACTTACTGCGACTTAGAAGTCATTTATTCCTAAACTAATATATATGATTTTATACATCGATTTTGAATAAATGCATTTGATTTTAATTCAAAAATTAATTTCAAAAAGTTTAAAAAGGTAATAATTTCCCATCCACTGAATCTCAGTATAACAGGGCAAATTGGTGTTATAGTCTTCGGATAGTTTCAATTAAATGGGTGTGTCTATTTTTTATGGATGAGTAAATGTTCCCCTAGCATTCACTACTCTAATTTTGTATACAAGTAAATTTTGTCCTTAATTTTAGGTTTCATTAGCATTTTAGATGTCTTCAAGAATACTTCTATCCCTTGTGTATTTATATGCTGTGTATAAAGTCAGCATAAACCTTCATTTACTTTTGATAGAAAAGTATATTGCTATTAAAGTGCAATTGATGTCGCTAAAGAAGTAAATATTAAAGTAGGTAGTTAATATCATGGTTTTGAATAAGTAAAGTAAAGCTATTATGAAAAAGATGACATACCATTGCCATATAATTCCAGTCTGGCTTTGCTTTATTATTGTGGTGCTCATCTTCCTGTTCAATATTGGCAATAATCAGGATAATTTGAATTACTTCAAATCAGGGTTACAATGATACCATTGTGTGAATAAATGTAAGGCCTATATCAGTATATTATCAAAGTGTAATTGGTGTCACTAGAGAAGTAGATTAAAAGTGGGTAGTGATGTCATAGAGATAATGATTGTGAGAAACAAAAGTGAAGCTATATAAATAGAAGACATGAAATTGCAATATTATTTCAGTCTGACTTTGCTTTATTAGTGTAGCACTAATTGTTTTGCTTAATACAGTATTACTGACAATAATTTGATAATTAAAATTACTTCAAATCAGGATTTACAATGATGCCATTGTGTAACTTGATATTCCAGAATAATATTTACCATGCCACCTGATTTAGGATAGGATAGGATAGGATTTACATATTTATCCCGGGGGAGAGGAAAGCCGATAAGACGGCTTATTCATATGGCGAACCACGGCCTCTCGTCCGGTTACCATTCCAAGTCGGGTATGGGATTAGATTTACTGTATTGTTTGTTTTCGGAAGCATGGACTTGGTGGTGGAGGAAGCCGTAACCGGCCAGCGGTTACGTGAACCACCCAACGACGGCGGGGAGTCCAGCAATCCTCTCGCACATAACCATCCCTGCATGGGATTCGAACCTGCGAACCCACGCAGAGTGGTTAGAGGTGCGGTGGCGAGCGTATTCCTAACGCTTAGCCCGTTGAGCCACACCGCCGCGCCATCCTGACTAATCATGAGTGACCACCATAAATTGTTAGACCTTAGCCGATTCAGTGAGTCATTTATTTTTCAAGTGTAATTTGCTATTTTAAATTTGTCTTTCTATGCAATTTGTATTTCATAATATCCTACTGTAGGCATGCAACTATACTCATTTCACTATGAGGCTTACATTATATGTCCTGAAGTTTGGGAAGATTCCAGGGCGCCTAAGATACGGAAAACATCAATTGCCTCATCACATTTCTGAAAAGAGCAGGGCTGAATTTGTCAAGTTTTTACAAATTGAATTGGAGAATGAAATGTGGCTCACGAGGCCCTATCTATCAAAAGCACAAGAAGAGTATTTGCCGAATGGTACAAGGTTTACTGCCCCAGAACATAGGTGGAAGAACACTACTTCAATAGAATTGGAAGATGAGCTGAGAGAGTTTAAAACTTGCGCTACAGAATAAATATTCCTTCTCATGTTGCTTTAGAAGACAGATGGTCATCACTTCATATTGAGGCCAAATGGGAAAGAAATAAGGACATCACTGTGAATAGATTTCAAAAATATAGTGAAATGGCCCAAATCAAGAGGATTCCAGATCGACTACCTAGGCCTGTGGATAAATGGAGTGAGTGGGAGCGTGTAAAGGGTGTAAAGCAAAATAAAAGTCTGGAGTGTTATAATAGTGACTCTAGTGAAACATAAATTTGCTGCCATATCTGGACATAAGACTGGGTGAGATTTTGTCATTTGCTCATATGAAAAAATCATTTTACGATCCTTCTTGACCATCAAGCCCATGCAGCAAAATAAATACCTGGCAGAGTGAGCTAAGCATCGTGAAATAGTAACCTGGCGAGATGATATGGTACACCTTCATCATACAGGGTTGTCCAAAACGAAAGGAATATTGAATCTCAGAATAATGGCTAAATTTTGATAAAAAATAAAATATCTGAATCTGAATTTTGGCTCTCAGCAAGATGTTTCGTATTTGAGGGAAATCTTCAATCGTTTTGTCACAGCCTGACGGTGTGGCGCATTGTGCCAGGCATTAGAATACGCCCCCGCCACATGAATAAGCAGTCATATCGGCTTTCCGCTTCAATGAATGAAGCACATTTATTCAGGTTTAATCTTAAGCTACTGCAAATCATTTTTTTCATACTATTAACAGTTTTGGAAGACGCTTAATGTGGAGTATCCAACAGGAAATGAACAAATTAAAAAAAATCTGTTAAATTTTAATAGCCAGGTTGGAGATTACAGTTATTCCACTGTTCATTGTATGCAAATTCCCTTGTACATTAAGATAAGCTTTTATTAGCTGGTTCTATTTTAGAGCATATTGATATTTCATACTCAAAATCAAAAGTAATAATTTGGAATGTATTTGAAATTATGAATTATTTGGTGTTGGCCATACCTGACAGTGACACCATATCAGTACGCCATCTAATAATAATCCCCGGGGATAAAATGATATCCTATCTCAAATAAGAGCAGCAGAGCAGATACCATTCTGAAAATCAAAAACTCATTTTTCCATTTTTAACAGTATTTACCCATTGCTATAAATATAATGCCAAAAACCAATACATAGCTGAGATCAATCATATTTCCCCAACAAATTTACATATATATTAATCCCAGGGGATGAGACTTCTCCATATGGCGAACCACGGCCTCTCGTCCGGTTACCATTCCAAGTCTGGTACCGGTATGGGATTAGTTATATTGTTTGTTTTCGGAAGCATGGACTTGGTGGTGGAGGAAGCCGTGACCGACCAGCGGTTACGTGAACCACCCAACGACGGCGAGGAGTCCGGCATTCCTCTCGCACATAACCATTCCTGCATGGGATTCGAACCTGCGAACCCACGCAGAGTAATTAGAGGTGCGGTGGCGAGCGTATTCCTAACGCTTAGCCAGTTGAGCCGCACATGTAAAAACTGTACAACAGTCGCAGTACAAGTTGAATATATCGCAGACAAATGTTTTGTTAAAGATTGGATAACAAATGCAAATAGAGTTTTTATCTGCAGTGGAGGAGGAATGAGGAGCGTAAAAACAGGCCGAGGAAGGAATGCGTCAAAAAAGGTTGGGAACCACTGCTCTAAATTTTAATGATAAACATGTATAATGCGGGAACTTAATTTGGAGGTGTACAAAAAATACCGTTTCGTTAAAAGAAAATAGATAATTTTTTTATGAATCGTATCAGTTTAGCTCCTTTATTTCCTAGTCTTCTATTAATGATAATTCCTATTTTCTTCTTTTTTTGAGGTGCCTAGCTAGCATATATGTAGTGATCAAGCGCGTGCGATTTCTCATAACACTACGTTGTAGGTCAAGGCTGCCCAACCCGCCGCCCGCCGGAGTGTTTTTTGCGGCCCGCCCTATAAAGTTTGTGAATACACTTTTAGAATTTTTACATACATTTTACTATATATAAGTATCTTTCGTGATTATGGTGTAATTATTCCTGCCATCTATCTACGTTCAAATGCCGGTTTTTATTAATCCGCATGTGTCAAGTCTTGCACCCTGGTGGACATAAACGTCATTTTATTTATTTATCGCAAAACTGTGCACTCTGTTCGATGAACTATAAAGATATTGTGCGATCATTGGGGACAAACGCTGAGCATAGATATAGGAATGAACTTAAAGCCTAAGTTTGCAAATTAATTTCATTTTGATTACTTTCTTTCGTGTCGGCTTTGATCGTCTTTATCGCCAACGTAAAATAAAAAGTCTACCATATCGTGGGTACTGGTCGCTGGACCTGTCTTTTTATTTTGTACTTTTGTTCATGTTAGGTTCGCGTTAAATAAGATTTTGGAAATGTCGTCACTGCGTATTCGTCAATAACTCTGATGAAATTGACGTAATGGCATTGCTACTAATTAGTCACAAATCAGTGTATATCGACTATTCGTTCAGAAATCTTCGTTATGTTACTTTATTAAATACTTGTATTGGTGTTTCGAATTTTACGAAACGGCCCACTAAAACTTGATATTGCCACGACATTGACGCACATCTAACATTAAAGCAGTATATATCGTAGCTATTGAAAATGAATGAATAAAGACACTGTAACGCAAATATAACACTCAACTTTGACGTGATGAGTGTGTTTCTTGCGTGGTCGCAAAAAAACCGCAAGTGTGTTGTGTAATGATTGATTCTTTGATGCGGTTGCCCGAGAGTATTATGTTCACGCCCCGTTTACCAGATATTCGAATAGTAAACCGCTATTCTAATATTCGAATAATTTGCCAGCCCTACCCAGTAACCAGAGAGCAATTATTAATTTGATTGATTTCATGTTAATAAACTCGCCTTTTATGTATTTTGTAATTACCTGCACCTAAATCAGGACTTATCTGGTATTAATGTTTGGTACAAACGTTTGCGGCCCGCGACCGATTTCGTCACGTGAAAGTGGCCCGCGAGACGAAAAATGCTGGGCAGGCCTGTAATGTAGGTGCTCCCGAAGTAGTCGTACCAAGATGGCGCACAACATGAACCTTGTATGTGTACCAGGTTAGGGTTTTTCAGGTTGTGCCCCAACTTAATACGAATACTTCCGCAGCGCCACGTTGTAAGCCTCTTATTAATCAAACTTAGCAAAGGCAGCGGTTTGTGCGAAGCCAAATTATCAGGGAAAAACTCATGGCGCACCTGTACGAAAAATATGCTGCCTCAAAACAAAACACAATTTTGTCATCGTTAATATGTACTTAAGGTTTTTAAACATGAAGGCCTAAGGAATAAAGGCAAAAAGTTAACGTTTCTTTTTTTTTTATCACTGCCTGGTTTTACTTTAAAACTCGGTTCAAATGAATAAACTGAATCCCCAAAAATTGCGAGATTTAGGGTTTTACTTTTATGTTACGTAGCAATAGACCCAACGTAGCAGAAAGTAAACAACATAGAACGGTAGAATGAATTTGATTCATATACACATCATTTACAACAATGAGAAACAATAAAACATTTAGAATAAATGTAATATGTTTCGAGGCGCACTCAGCAAATCGGCTTCGAAAACCGCTAGCTTAACGATTAAACCGTCATTGTTATACAAGCACTCGCAAATCGGGTCTTACGACCAAGAATATGCATTGTTATGATTCTACCGTGTTTCCCCGAGGATAAGACCAAGCCTGGATTTTAAAAAGGATTTTAACATAAGCGCTCGCTTTAAAAAAAGACTTTGTCGATAGCGCAACTTTTTGACCTAATCACGTGGAAGTGCGTCGTTTCAACTTTGCTAGGACGTCGCAATACAATGAAGTTCGAGAACCACTGAGTCCCAATCGATAGCAAGAAATCTCTTCCACTTTTTAAATGGTTAATAATTTATATGTAGCAGTTATTTTGAATAAAAACGTGCTATTTATAAGTAAATGGATATTCATATTTTGTATAATAAAAAATCTCATTATTCTCTATCCCAAAAATAAACCCTAGTGTTATTTTCGAAAGAAAATTGAAGACAGTGTCTTATTTTCGGAGAAACACAGTATTATGATGATGTATTCACTCGGAATCGTGAAATTTTTGTTTTACACTAATTTTAATAATTTAATTTCGAATCACGAGTCTGAAAAAGTACAATAGATATGGTACTTGTGTGTAAAATTGGTGTTCTCTTTGCGGCCCCTAAAATTTGTTTCGCGGCCCCTAGTTTGGGAAGCCCTGATCTAATTCATTCTATTTTTAGAAGTTATTACACACCTTTCCTCTTTATCCAAAGTGACAAATTTTCAAGTGCCTAAATTTAGACCGTCTCCTGGTTTCACCTAGTCTTTCCATTCCCAAGGGTAGAACAAACAATCTTGTATTTGTTCTCGAGAAACCTACGCAGCTTATAGATGCTTTGAGATACAGACTTCTAAATTAGGATGGTCCGGAAAATGTGGCAATTCTGTATACTGTTATAGACAAAGTCGTCGCCGCAAATTTCTTAAAAGATGGCTTGATGACAGGTTTTGCAGTTGGTTAGTTTACACCCAACTTCCGGATGGTGGTGGTTTGTGTAAGATATGCATCGTGATGCAAGCAATTTTGCGAAGCTTCTACAATTTCGTATTGACGCCGAGGATGACGATTAGTAAAGGCATTTTGCTCGAATGGCCGGAAACGGTATACAAGCCCAATAATACAGAATGAGATTCTCGGGGTAGCATGCAATATGACAGTGCAAGATATCATTATGGAGGCTAATACAACGTTTGTTTCCTCAAATAGCCGACAAATCGTGTGATATTTCAGAACCATGTGGACGGTAGCGAAGTGTGCGAGCGCTTCACAGGATTTGTGATAATGGATTCCGTTTTCTGCCGAATTAATTTCATCAAATATTTTGGCCCACTTCTCTGGGATAGGAGTGGATTTGCAAAAACTAGTGGGACAGTGTTATGATGGAGTAACAACAATGATAAGTCACGTGAGCGGTGTGGAAATATGCATTCGCTATTATTACCCCGGCGCAATATTTTGTGCACTGTGCTTCTCATTGTTAAAATTTGGTTGAAATCATCAGAAAGACCTGTGACATCATTCGGAAGACTATACGTTTGTCCTTGAAAGCCCTAACGAGTTTAGAACTTAACATCCATTTGTTCTTCCCCACCAGATGTTCTGAAAGGTACAAAAGCATCCGGATATTCAAATGCAACTTTAAACTTGAGGCGCTTGATGCCAACAGTGAGCCGAGGGCAAAGGCTTTCTTTCTGAAATCTGCTTTAGAGAAATCTTCTGTTATCTACGCTGTAATGTTTGATTAGTCGATATTCGACACAGATAGAACTCGCGCGCACACTTCCATCGCGTCAGAGCAGGCCTGGACCAGTTGCGGCCCGTGGCTACATTTTATTCGGCCCGCCAGCAGATTGAGACTTTTTTATTTACATATAAAATATACTTTAACAAGAGCGTAGCCATCCCTAAATTTTTGTTGGGTGGAGGTCAAATTTTTTTTTTATATAGTGAAGTAATTCGACGCTTACTCGTGCCTTTTGCTCCGAACATGGCTAGATAAAAACAGCCGCTGATATGTAACAACATCTTAAAGAATCTCTCTACAGACTTACCTCCCTGTCAAAGTTATCCAAGGTATACTATACAAGCGCGTTATCTCGGTTAGTTCATAGTTCATTAGCAAGCAAGGAAAGGTAAGTTTTAGACTAAGATGGGATATAGGGAAAAGTAATATTTCCCTGCAACCCCCCTAAAAATTCACAAAGAATCAAACTTCAGCAAACATGTTCAAAGAAATATAAAATGAAAGTGAATCTACATTATTGGCCAGTTATATTGTAGTCCGCAACATCGCTAAAATGAATCGCCCGTTTGTTGAAGGGGAATTTTTCCGCGAATATATGCTGCAAGTTTTGGAAAAAGTAACTTTTCCAGCATTAGTCTTTCTAACAACACAACTATAAACCTAACAAAAAACCATATAATTTTTGGGAAAATGATGGTAAAACATTTTGTTATAGATTTCGTATTAACAATATCCTTCGTGAAGGGGCTGATGGACACATGTATGGTAGTTATGAATATAAAGTTAACAAAGTATGTAAATTTTGTTGTTTTGCATGTCTCTCCGTACATGTAGTCCTGTTTAGTAGAAGCTAAACCTAAATTTAACATTTTTTATTAGATTTTATTCCAATGGGAATCCCATGGGATGGGACATGCATACTATCTATGGGATGGGACAGAAAAATATGTCCCACGGACAAGCCTGATAATATGGTGTTGGAAAATGCGTAATAATTTATCTTTCACTGCCAATGCCGCAAAATTGCATTTGAAAATTTTTCTTGTGATTTTGAGCGGGAACAGGGTATTATCATGTTTTAAACTTTTTGATGGTTATGCTCGCTCTCCAGAATTTTCCATTCCTAATTTGTGTGTATTATAAATTTTTTTAAATAAACTATCTATTCATCTGAAAATACAATAGAAACGCGCAATGTAGATTGACTTTACCTAGTCCAGCCCGCCACTGCATTTTGAATTTGCAATGTGGCCCCATAGCAAAAATAATTGCCCAGCACTGCTTCAGAGTGTTCTCACAGAAGAACGCAATGACTCGAACATTGCATCGAATATTTACAAAAAAGGTTGTGAAATAGCTGGCTTGGAAGATCTGACAATAGGATAGGATTTACATATTTATCCCGGGGGAGAGAAAAGCCGATAAGACGACTTATCCATATGACGAACCACGGCCTCTCGTCCGGTTACCATTCCAAGTCGGGTATGGGATTAGTTATATATTGTTTGTTTCCGGAAGCATGGACTTGGTGGTGGAGGAAGCCGTAACCGACCAGCGGTTACGTAAACCACCCAACGACGGCGAGGAGTCCAGCAATCCTCTTGCACATAACCATCCCTGCACGGGATTCGAACCTGCGAACCCACGCAGAGTAATTAGAGGTGCGGTGGCGAGCGTATTCCTAACGCTTAGCCCGTTGAGCCACACCGCCGCGCCAGCCACAATGCCCAGAGTAGTCGAAGTACAAGTTTATCGCGACAACGTATGTGCTGATTCAGCCTTCCAACGTTCGTATATCTTCCATACGTCGATGGCTTGAGCTGCTCTATTCGACCACTTTATTGACAATCATTCTTTTTTGACTTGCTATTAATTTTTTCCAATGAAGTGAGACTGTAGATAGCTTCTTTGAGCTCTGACGTCGGCGACAAATGTTTAGAGAAGCTTCTTCTAAGCGCTTGAGATTATCCAAGCGTGCACGCGGGCCGTTGTGCCGCTATGAGAAACAACTCTTAAGGCCGAATGTTTTTTTTCATATATGAAACGGGTGAAGACATAGCTGTGCTAATCAATGACGCCTAATCGCTTTTTTGATTGTGTGTGCATCGCTGTCACCGTGATTCAGATTGCGGTGTACCTATTTGTTGTTTCAAATGAAAAGTTGTTTAGGAAAATGTTTTTTTTATTAACAAATGAATAGTTTGCATATTGATCGAATGTGATCTTTTTTTTTCTGCTTAAAAAAGTTGTGTCTCACCCAATATCTTTGCTTAAAATTACATTAATTGGTCCCCACCAAAATTTTAGGCTGACTTCGCCTTTGTCAGAGACCTCCGGAATTGAAAACATAAGTGAATGTTTCTGTAAGAAATAGTTTTTTTTTTATTATTACTTAAATGAATAAGAAATTCTATTTAAAATTCCTCCATAAATTACAGCATTAAATCATATTATTTACTCTCTAACTTATAGTGGCTTGAATCGTAAATGTTATTATAAAAATAAATCATTTCCATTGTATTTCGAGTCCTTATGGCATTGTCAGGATGCGGCACAAATTAAAGCAATATAAAATGAAAATGTTCTACCCATGCACCACGAAAAGACAGAAAAGAAGAATTGTACAAGGGATAACTTTAACAAAGCATTGGATCACCCAGGTAATATGAATTCAACAAGAGAAATATTCACTTTTCAAGAAAATTTTTGTGGTACTCCCGAAGTATGTGAACCAAGATGGCGGACACCGGAACGTAGTATGTGTATCAGGTCAGGCCGTAATTTTATTTCAATTTTAGTTTTATTGCGAGTTCGGGGACTAGCCAAGTGACTCCCGAAGTATTTTGTGCCCGAAACAATGGCATAACCTGAACCTGGTACACATACTACGTTCCGGTGTGCGCCATCTTGGTTCACATACTTCCGGAATGCCGGATTGTTTTCCGGATTTTCGGCAGCTCAACGAGAAGCAGTGTTTTCAGAAGCTACCGTGTTTTCCCGAAAATAAGACTGGGTCTTATTTCAATTTTTTTCTGAAAAATAACACCAGGGCTTTTTTTTCGGGGGATGTCTTATATTTTCATTTATCAAAAACATAATAACAAAGCAGGGAATCACGAGATTCTCAAATCTTCAAAATATGAAAACCGATATCCGTTTACTTATAAATAACGCGTTTTTATTCAAAATAGATGAAAACCTAGATTATCAATCATTCAAAATGTGTAGGTGATATCCTTGCTATCGACTAGGTCAAAAAAAATTCCGCGTTATTGACTAGTCTTATTTTGAGGGTAGTTCTTATTTTCGGGGAAACACGGCATGTTTAAAGCGGTCTTGTCATCTTCGCCCTCCGGGATTAAATACCGTGTTTCAATATTCTTTCGAACAATAACACTACAGCTCATTTTGGGGGAAGGCTTTTATTTTCATTCATCAAAAATAAATTACAAAGTTGAAAATTACAAGATTTTTAATTATAAAAAATCCGCCATCTATTTACTTATAAATAATACGTTTTTATTAAATGCAAGTCACTAGATCAGTGATTCCCAAACACTGTGCCGCGGCACATTAGTGTGCCGCGAAGAGATTTGATTCTTGAATTAATTTCAAGTGATTCCAATCTCGTGAATTCCGCGAGAACTACCCCACGTTTCTTGCTGACAAACAGAAACGACATAATTGAGAAGTCGTATTTGAGTATTGTTTCAATTATAAGTTTTGCATAAAGCGCGCCAACACTATTGCGTAAAATTGAAGATGTCAAACAAGGTAACGAATTATTGTGCGTAATTTCCTAAGAAGGTCGACTATCGTCTTCGTAGATATCCGCATTCTGGCGTCAGAAATGATAATATTATAGCTTAAATTGGTTGGGATAGGCAATTTACAAACGGCGGGGAGAGAGATCAAAGTAGGCGCAAATATAAAAATCGGAATAAAACCCCGAATTCACTCCTTATCAGCTGTCTTCAACCTCCTAGGAATATAAAGCCTAACTTCGACGTTCGCCGTTGTGTAATAATTTGTCATTGTAAAGAAAGAGGACGGGTGAAAATAGCTCACCAACATTAGAATGTCTAGCGTGCTGCTGGCTGCCTGTTTTATATATACTAAAATTACCCGATAATTGACAATTCGTTAGAAAGATTCGAATAATTCAATTCCATAAAAATATTCTATTTTGCTCTCCCTTGCGATCTGTAATCACGCCAGTAAACTGGCGAAACCTTCATTAAATTTAGTAAATTGCACTACTTCACGAATGCGTGGTAGAATTGACGATTATTTCATATCTCGAACACAAAAACGGTTATCCTTTTCGAATAGGTACTGCGATCTGAAAAGTCGCATTAAAAAGCATTTCGACATAGTAATTGTTATGATCATTGCCATCAATATATGCTCGAACCTTGCACGAAATTCATAACATGAAAAGATAAGTCCAGCGGTTTATAACAACTTTAACCAATTTAGTGATTTCAGCGATAATGATTATTGTTGTAATGAGATACAGTTTGTTTGACTTTTTCATTTCTATCGCATGTGTCGAATATAACACTATTTATCTAATTCTAGGTATTATTTTCGGGGAAACACGGCATGAGTGTCCTAAACCAGTCGTTCCGCAAGCAATTTTGTTGTTTTTCTGTATGGTGTTGATTGCCCGGCGGTATTTATTCTATGGCTCCGATCAGTCTCGAAAGCCTTTCAACCCTCACAGGTGTTCAAAATATAGTACTCCACATCCACACATACCTGTTTTGGTCCACATCGCCCCTGCATAATTTGTAACCGCACACTATAATATAACAACATCGATATATTTTCTTACCACTGACTAAAACGATGCAAAAATTAGAAGTAACAAAGTCAGCGAGACATTAAAGCTAACACGAATCAATCAGTAAATGAATAACATTAATCGTCATTACTATGGCACGGCGTCGTAACGGATGCAAAACGATCAGATGCCTATTACCAATATGTTGAACCGATAAAAACAACATTATTGTGATCAGAAAAACTACGAGTCGATTGGGTAAATAAGCAATATGAACTAAATTCATTCCGATAATAATGAAGCTGTGTTTTGGAAATACTATTGATTGCGAAAAACGCTACAAGACCAATGAAAAAAATAATAATAACACATATATTTACGTTACGTCCACAACACCATGGGCAAAAATAATAACAATTCCTGGATGTAAAATCATATCGTCTCCCATATGATTATTTTCACATTGCAAAATCACAATAGCCTGCTTTCCCGGAATTCTTTTTGTGACATAATCCTCGTATTGACGACGGTGGAGTTGTCTAGTTTCTAGAGTGCTCAAGCCAACAGGCCATCTCCTCTCATGTGCATTTTCCATCAAATCATTAACAATGTGTAATGGGCATTGAGTATCAATTAGAGCTCGTTTAATAACTGTTTGTAAAACTACATCTGGAGTAGAAATCACCCCACCCCAGCGGGTGACCCTCGCAAGTGTAAGTGAACTGCCCCACCGTATGACATCATCTTGCTCCATTCGTTGCTGTATGATTTGTAAGCTTGGATTAGTTGGTATTTTCAAGGCTTTAATGTACTCTTTTAAAAGAGATACTTCATGTTTCAGTTCAGATATTTGCTTATTAGCTTCAACCTTATGCAAATTTAGATCATTGATCTCAATTTTTTGTTTGTTGACAAGACAACGCAATTCTCTGATACAATTGTGGTCAGACATTTCGTCTTTTGGAACAACTACGCCACAACCACGAGTACATTGTATGGGTTTTTTTGGATTAAAATCACATTCAGTTTGATGTGACAATAACTGATCAAGACGTACGATTGTGGCACAACCATACTTTCTATTTTTCACACATCAGAGTCAGTCGACCTAACATATTCCTCATTATCCTTGGAACAGGTTTCAAATGTTGGGTTTGCAGTTGACTACGATCTACAGGACATGTTTGTTGTCTCTGCAACCAAGCCTCTATACAACATTTGCAGAAACAATGCTCACATTCTTCCACCATCACAGGATCTTCAAGAACGCCACCACATATCACACACATTAACTCTTCATCAACTCTACCACTGAACCTCATCAGATCAAATCCCATTTTGACAGTGCTTTTGTAAAGCAGGTGTTTAAAATAAGTCCATTGTTATATTATATTGATGATGCTCTGTAGAGGTAAAAAGAAAAATGTAAACAGAAAGGGGATCACTGAGGGAACACATGGATAATACTAAAGATCACATGGAGTTTGACCTATCACTATCACTATTGGTTCACTATCACTATTGGTGTTTTTGGATATGCAAAGGATTAAGCATCGGCATCAAAACAAGGGGACGAGCGCTTTGGTAGTTGTAGCGAGGTTTCACAGAAGCTCCCATAGAACACTCTCTTCAACCTCACTACAATCTGGTCAAAGCTCGCCATTACATATACCAGCATCTTACTACAGTGGTTTTCAACCTTATTTGTGGAATGGAAGTCAAATAAGACATTCCAGTGGCTCAAAATACCCCTGTGCAATGGCTTATTATTTGTCTTATTATTTATAAGTCATTACAAATCTATCCAAAATTTGGATACATATGTATACCTCGGTAGTCGGTAGTCAACCAACAAATTCGAGCCAAATAGTTGTGGAACTCAAAAGGGGATTTCGGAGCTTACCGCGCATCTCGGCTGACTTTTGACAATTCACCAAGCATCAAGTCAAGTCAGAACGTTAGCACTTGCACTTGAATTATTTTCCCCACCAATTGAGTTATATATTCTTTTGAATTAAATGCCATGGGAGATAATTTGCAAAAAACTAACCAATTTTAAAGAAATTGTACACTATAAAAGTGATTTGTACCCGAGATGTCAGTGGACGGTCAAAATAAATCATAACCACTAACCCAGGGTTCCCCAAACTGGGATCCGCTGGGGGTTCATGATGACTGCACAGGGGATCCGCGACTATATTAAGAGTCTGATCAATCTTCAACCACTGATTTAAAGCCATTGCATATTTTTGTTGGAACGTTGCGCAAGAAATTGCTGCCAGAAAGGGCAATTAGAAAACAAACCTACAGGTTTGAGGCAGCGTTTTCATCTTAACCAATTCGATGACAAAATACAGGTAGAGACTTGCTGTCGAGTCGGACTTACGTGTGCTTATCATAAATTGCTAAAACAATTGATAAATTGTGCAGTCGGAAGCAATCTCATCCAACACTTTATTATCGGTAGTGTTATTGTGATGTATATGAAACTTTACCATTCTTCGTTGGTTAGGCACAGGAATTGATACGGCATAGAATGGGGGTCCGTCAAAAATTAGATTCTAAAACAGGGGTCCGCAGCTCAAAAAGTTTGGGAAACAATGCGCTAACCGCTAACCAACTAAAATTGGGTCGTGTTTAAAAAAATTCAGCCGAAGTGTAGTATATGCTGATGGATATTGAGTTGGGATAGATTGTTTTAGTTAGTTTACCACAGTTGTCAGAAATTATTAAAATTAACGATATCATATATAGCTACCTAATTTAGGAAGTATTTCAATAGTCTAATCATTTCGTTTTGGAATCAAGTATGAAATACTTAACAACAGACTTAAGGACATACATTATAATGATACATAAACATCCCCTCAGTATGTCCAGCTGCCTCGCCATATTCTGATATTGGTGTAAACAACATACAGACATAACACAGTAACAGTACTGTGATGCATGCATGCTAGATAATGGGCTTGGATAATGGACTAGGGCTTGTAGCCGATCCTATTATCAAATCGACCAATTTAAATAACTGACAAGTCTTGCATAAGATAAGGGTCTAGTGTAGTTTGATACCACAAGTACTTCTAGTGGGCTTGTCATAACCATTTTCACATATATAATATTCCTAACCAACACCTGACTATGTCATCCAAAAAAATAAGTCACTACTGCACTAAACGCCACGTCATATAGCCCATCAAAGTGTAGCTATGATCACTCAAAATAGCATCTACGGCGAAGATAATAAGCTCATCAATTATTATAGGTTATGGCGCTTCTAATGTGCACCAGACTGGACCAGGGGTGTGCAAACTCTGCGGGCCACAAGGAAAAATGATGCAGTCTGCGAATAAGTGCCAATTTCAAATGGTGTTCGGCCCATCGAGCGAATTTTTAATTTGGTTTAATCTGGTTCTGGTTTGTTATGCTATGAAGTTCATATATTAATATCTATGCTTATGACAGTACAACTGTGCATTGCCAATGCTGCAATGCCCTAACCGGTACTGTATACAGGTAGACAATAACAGCTAGCTTGCGCGAAGCAAACAATGAGATTCACGAATGTGTCACCCGATGCAGCGATGAGAAAGCAAGAAATTTAAGTAAAGTACAGAGCACACTCTAATAAATTAGTAAAAACGGGCAACAGGAGTTAAATTCAAATGAGTTTTGGTCCCAGCATTTCAGTCAAATTTGTCTGAATCTAGTCTAAAATTAGACAGATTTGACAGCAAAGTCAAAAAATATTTCCAAATGAATCTTGGCGATTTTTACTGAAAACATCCCAACCAATATAACTTACCACATTCTGCACTTCTGACATTTAAAGAACTCTGAAACTCATGGCTTTGAAAACGGCACTATTTCAGTATTTGACTCAACATATTCTGATATTAGTCATCAGATTAGTGTGAACAGTTATTTTCTAAATTGGTTGTCATGAAACCCACCTATTGATCCGTTCTGACGGACTAATACCGGTAGCCTACTTGAAAAACGAACTTGGAACTGCTAGCTTCTAGCCCCTCAAAGCAAATTTAGAAAACGGATTCCGAAAAGAAACCACTTGCAAATTTCTCACTGAATTTGTTCAGGGAGTCATAGCAATGACATAATCATGTTTTTTGCCTACAACTACTAGAAAGTCTTTGTTAAGTATCTGGCTCTTCTGTATTAAAGGTTGCACACTTCTGTTCTAGACAACACAGGCCCACACCGGTACAGACGTAAGCTTGCCTGTAAGCCGAGCCATGATATTAATTGAGGAATTTATGTAAAAAAAAACAAGAAACGCGGAAAAATTACAGATGTATATCAGCCGAGCGGCGCACAAACCTAATTACAAAGGGAACAACTTTGGGGTCAGATATTAGGTATTTAATTAGTAAAGAAATATTAAAACTATGTACATAATTTATCAAAGCCAGCGATCTTTCTGATATCGCGATCGTCACTTTGGTTACAACGAGAAAACGAGAAAAATAGCTTGGCTGTTTCACTAAAGAGAATGATAACGTTTCACCAAGCATCGATTTCCTTGTTTTGGTTTTGTAACAATGACCAAGCTGATTAGCAAAAAGTCAACGACGACGTAACAATTGACTTCACTCACTCACCAGACAGATACCGGATTCAAACATCAATCAATCAATCAATCAATTTTATTCGATCACTCTGATACAACGACTAACATACCGATACAAACAAAACACAAAACAACAACAAATGGACAAACAAAATACAGAGGACCTGGAGGACGGGCATAACTTAATAAAAAAGTTAAATACGCACAAGTACGTGCCCGTCCCCCAAAAACAGAATAAAACAAAAACACGATGTAAATCGGGCAACAACTTATAAATTCAAATTAAAATGTGCGACGTGTATGTGCTTTTCCTATACAGATATATGGATTAAAACACTTGCTGACGAAAAATGGTGATGTTGTGGGCCTACTTCAATTATATTGCAAAAATAACACAGTGACAAATTTTTTTTTACTAAAAAACAAGCTTGGTAAATGGATTGGATGTTCCATAGCAGTCTATGCACAAATCATGGATTGGGGTGTTGGGTTCTTTTGTCGTTTTCGGTTGGTTCACTTTAAAATCATTGTATCCGTTCCAATACTTCAAACATTAATATCGAATTTCCACGCACGACCACCATTCAGCCATTCCAACAGGTGCAGTGATCCCATCTTTTCTACGCTCTGTTCCATCATACACGACTAGATTCATAAAAAGACCGAAACCTCGCAATATACCCGTAACAAATCGTCTAACATTCAACTTTAAATCCAATCTTTTATCCATAAACATGGTTGTAAACAATGTCTCGTTATCGCGGCTTCGCGTATTATTTGTCAGCTTTCAGTTGTTTCCAAAAAATAGTTGTAAATAAAGTGTTTTCTAATTATCATTATGTCTTCCGACGAGAGTAGTTCAGTTGAAAAATAAATAAAAAATTAGTCCCAGAAAAACTGAGATAGACCCACAGACTCAAATTAGCTATTAGTAACTGCAAGCGCCACGTTGTTTTTTTATCAAAAGTAATTTTTACATTTTTTTAAAATGTAAAGCAGTTTGTAAGTGTCAATACTCGTAAACCCAGATAGCACAACTACGTTGGGCCAACGTTATAATCCGCCGGCAACCGTTGTACGCGGTTTTACAACCATTTACCATGGTAAGGCCATGATTGGCCTTCAACGAAACACGCCATTATGCGAAGAAATGGGCGCGCGATTCGAATATAGCACATGAGGTCGCCATTCATTTTGGCGGTACTCGTAATCGATAGCCTGTTACGAGGTTTTTGCCGTGTACCGGTATGGGACAGTGACATTGAACTTTTAATGCTTTCATAGTAGAATGGCGAAAGTAGAGATAGCCTAGTTGTAACCGTGTAAGTTAATCTCATGGTACCGGTACCCTAAGTGCGTTGTCAGGTCACGGTTCATAAGGGTGATAGGGTACCGTACCATACCGGTAAAAGTTACATATTTATCCCTGGACACTACCAGAACGAGATGAGGTCCGGTACCGTACTTGGTCTTTTGGCATTTTTTTGTTAAACTTTCTTAGGTTGCCATCTCTCATTTACCAGTATTCGTTATCGAGTACCGGTACCTATGGTACATACAGGTAAAAGTTACATATTCATCCCTGGACACCGTAGGTACCGGTAACGACAGAACGAGATGAGGTACCGGTACCGGTATCCCTGGACACCGTAGGTACCGGTAGTCTAACGACAGAACGAGATGAGGTCCGGTACCATACTTGGTCTTTTGGCATTTTTTTGTTAAACTTTCTTAGGTTGCCATCTCTCATTTACCAGTATTCGTTATCGAGTACCGGTACCTATGGTACATACCGGTAAAAGTTACATATTCATCCCTGGACACCGTAGGTACCGGTAACGACAGAACGAGATGAGGTACCGGTACCGTACGTTACGGTACCGTACTTGGTCTTTTGGCATTTTTTTGTTGAACTTTCTGAGGTTGCCATCTCTTATTTACCAGTATTCGTAATCGAGAACCGATACCGGTATTGGTCCTTCATCCCTGGATATGATTTTTTACATTTACTTTATTTGTCTAAGTGCAAACATTTCCGCAGCCCAAATCCAACCCATTGAACGACTTAATCCAGTAATCTGAATAGTTGTACATTTGTGAACCTTATGTCTGATGAATTTCAACAAATCTAAATACAGATCACAATCAAACTGAAACTAAAATTTGATGTTTTTGGGTAAAAAATAGCTCAAGGATTATTGTTTTCCCTTTTTGTTTTTGTAACACTTTAAATAAAATTTTGTTTCTAAAGTATAACTTTTTACGCCACACATGCGAAATGCGACATGGCCCGCCAGTCTAGGTGCGCAAAATTTTTGCACGTGGTCCGAGAACTTTGCTCAACCCTGCTCTAGTTCATATTTTCAGCTTTGTTGAGAAAAAATTACTGATTTTTGAATAATATCTATTTTGTTTTAAAATTCAATAGAATTATATTGGGTAATCATATATATTAATATGATTTATTTTCAGTATGTATGCTATGTAAGCTTACCCAACCAACCTTAATTAAGTGTTATTATATTTTAAAGTGAATTGGAATAGACCGCTAGCAAAAAAAAATTCGGCGACGATTGGGGGGACAGCCCATCTCTGTACAATGGACTCGCCAAATGTGCAATTGCAAGCTGTGGCAATGCCAGCGAACTCTAAAAGCATGAAGTATTGTACGACAGCATCTTCACAAATATTTGAACATATTTTGTGTAATATCCATTTTTTTCCGGTTATTCCCTAAATAGATTATTACCGATTAGAATTCTGTCAAGTGTCAATATTACCAATTGTAAGGTTAATGCAACATATCATTTTTATAGATAGGCCCCATGACAATGACTGGAAATTCACCTGCTTATAATTCCCTCTTTCACGCAATCATATACTGTGTCATTTCAAGCATCTCAATGTTTCAATGCGGACAATGCCCAAAACAGGTGTTTTTGTTTTATAGTTTGATAGTAGCTCCTTGCATATCTGTGCCATAAAATATTGCACAATAGCTAGATATATCGGTTGAATAATTTACCTAGTACAACATCATGTGGTTAATACCGTATTTTCCGGCGAATAAGTTGCTTTTCTAGACCCCAAATTTTTGGCCTGATTTTTGGGGGGGGGGGTCGTCTTAGTTAGGCGGTAATGATCATTTTCATTTTTTTGTCGCCTTATATTGAATCCGGACAATAAATACCTTCGGCGATAGCATCCCCCACGTCCTCATCAGGTTAGTTGAATATCGACATTCTTGTGCTGTGAATCTGAAATTTCAATGCTGTGATTTCATATTTGCTTATCATATATGGACTGAATATTACGCTACAAAAAAAGTCATAGGCTATTTTAACAATGCGCAAACGCGGCGACCGCTCGAAAGGCATTGCATGGTAATTTGAGATTCCGACGTTGATGCGATTTTACTACCCTGACTTATCGCCGTTATATGCAAAAACCCATTTTTTCAGCTTAAAACAGGCCTCGTCTTATTCGCCGGGTAGACTTATTCACCGGAAATACAGTAATTAATATTAATGAAAAATTTATATTCTGGTAATTAGTATAGGCCATTCATTCACGTTTATCATCTGAAAGACAATCATGTACTATATATTGTGTAACACTAACTTGATTTTCAGAGATCAAGCCATGCTCCAATCCAGTCCATGGAAAAATTGTTGGGACAGGTAGAAACTCTTATGCTACAAGCTACGGCATCTGCAACTTTCCACTGATTATAGTGTGGACTCGGACATACAGGAATTGATGAAATTCATTGTCTGATTACATTTTGATCCAGAATACATTCAAGGATGAAAAAATGGCTCGTAAGTTGAATACTTTTATAGGCTGATTAAATACACTTTACGGCGGTGGTTACCTTTGCTGGGTCTCATCTTATTGAGTGCCTTTTATTTTTTGTCGTTTTGTTTTTGACTGCATAAAGCGCTTCGAATTTATGTATGAAATACAATATGCCCCATATTTTCACATCGTGTTCAAGGAAGATTATTTAAAGGTCTAAATACGATCCGATTGCAATATTAAAATTGTTCACTTTTATACGAATGGGATGTGGACAAAACGCATATGTGTATATTTTAGAGTAGATACTCGCGATAATTAACATAGAGCTTTTGCAACGGATGGAAACCTTATTAGATGTATTCTTATAATTGTGCTTATTTACTCATTCCAGATAAGATATTTGTCAAGTCTCGGAGGTTGCTCCAAGAAAGACTGGATTGGACAATCATGAGCTCAGTTATAACAAATTTACTCGCCCAGTCTTTCAACTGTGCAGGACGCGGTGGATAAGAAGGAGTGAGTGGGACGCCCTTAGTTTCTGCTATTAAAGGTACCGGTATGTAATATGTTTATCATATTATGCCACCATCTTTCTCTGCTCTGCTACCCTCTTCTATTATAAGATTATTTTGACTCCAAATCAGCTTAAGATAATTCATAAGGGAAATGAACAAAAATTGATTAATAGAATCTGACAATCTGGAGTGAAAACAAAACCTTAATTAAGATTGAAGCGTAAAGTATATAAGGTTTTGCCAAAAAGATGCCTATCGTGTTCATGAATTAAATTAAGTTACACACACACAACAACAACAGAGATATAATAAAATAAAAACAGGCGAGAAAATTTAGATAAGTTTGGTAGTAAACAAAATGTACTTGCCAGTTGCCACACCATTCATTTTTATCATTATGATTGTCAAATTGAATAATGATTTTGTAAACAACTGTGAACAGTAAAGAAATTGAATGTAGATTTTGTATACAAAGTGAACAGTATAGAAAAATATTTATTAAGGAGATATCGCCCAAGCTGATTATGGTTAGAGTCAAGTGCCAAATTGCCAATCCAATGTTGCCAGAATTTGGTGCATAATGGCGAACAGTGGTTTTCGAACTTATTTGTATCATCGCTCCCTTACAGTACCCCCCCTAGCACAACAGCAAATGATAAGGTTACAAATAAATTTATTGTAAATCAATTAAACAAATAGACTAATCATGGTGCATGATGTTTCTAATAAGATAGATGATTTCAACAAGGAAGTATTGTGAAGACATTTTAGTCAGATTAAAATCTCAAATCAATCCATTATTCTCTCCAACAAATATTCCCTCAAAACACTGTCTACGCCCCCCTTTGCGGAATCAAGAATTTCTGTATTTCTCAATTATTATTGTCTTGTCAATGTAAGCTTCACTCACACATTTGCGACTGCAGAAACTTGGCTTAAGATTCCTACTCTGAAAATTTGTTGGGATGGCAGTCATTCAGACTAGGCTTTGAACTCTGGTGCTGTAATTTGCTAATACTGCAATTTAACACAGGAATTTTTATATTTTTCAGCTCTGGATGATCTGGCAACGAACTCCGATTAATTTTATTACATGTATACATATTTGTAAAATAAAGACATTTTGTTATCTTTTGTTTTTTAATATATAAATAATGTTAGATTAGTGGGAAATTTCTATGTAGTATAAGATCCATAACCTGTCTGTACAACACATCGCCTAACTTGGTCCGACCATGTGCCACGACTTGTATTACAACGTGTCACCTAACGTAGGCCCGGCCAATATGTCACGATTGTGTTACAACGTATCGCCCACGTTGGACCGGCCATATTTCACGATTGTGTTACAACGTATCGCCTACGTTGGCCCGACCGTTTGCCACGGTTGCATTACAGCGAAAGGACCGACGTTGGCCCAGCGGCCAAATCTTCGCTGGAACATGGTTGTTCGCCATTATTGGGCCGGTGGTTCGAACAACGTTCGGCCATGGTTGTTCCGACGTAGTTGTGCTATCTGGGAAATTTGCAACTTGGGATGAAATTTGCAAGTCCCCAATTCCCGAATTGTTCGATATCAATGTAAACTGCGGACAAGTGTTTTCAAACTTTTTCTGGCAAAGCCCCCTCGAATGACTTTTAGACTAACAAACTCCCACCTGAATATAAAGTACAGGTTTATAGAGGACTTGCACGGGTCACGTGACTTTGTTTACTGGACGGCAAAAAAAAAAACGTCCATTTGGCTCCTGTCAGTTGCAAGTCGGATTATACGTTTCCGTTTTGTCTGGCTGTTGAAAATGGTTATTTCGTATTTTTCGAAATGGATCTTCAGTTATATTCCACTGTTTTCAAAAGATCCGGAACGTCGCGCAATGTGGATATCATCTATTGGCAGGACTGCTTGGTGTCAAGTCCAGAAGCCATCTCACTTGTGTTTCACTGTTTGCTGACAGCACTTCGTTGATGGTGAGTCATCATGTGCCGTTATCAAATTTTTAAATATTCATAAGCTCCCTCATTTCAATGGAAAGCAGATGACAAACTACTGTTATTGGTAGACCTAGGCGTAGGCCTACTTGCAGACTTGACTCGTGTAAGGTAATAATCAATAATTGCCATAAGGTATTGTTTTCCTAGTTAGCAGGTAATCTATCAGTAGCCTAAGTGTGAAAAGTTGAATAGATAACTAAAGTTTAACGCCAGTGCTAATGCAAAAAATAACCAGAATTCAATTGAATTCTCCATCTAAGAATACGCTCGCCATCGCATCTCTGATCCCCCTGGGAGTTTCACAGGTTCCAATCCCTTGCGGGGATAGTTATGTGCGAGGGGATTGCAGCTCTACTCCCACTGAGGGTGGTTCACACGACCGCTGGTCGATTACGACATCCCCCACCATCAAGTATATGCTTCTAAAACAAATAACTGGCTAACTAATCCCGACATAGAATGGTAATCGTACGACGTTGCACCTTGCAATCTGTCCCCAACCACAGATAAATTCTATCCTGAAAACTACCCACATTGGTAGGCATAGTTGCGTTTTAAATAGAAAGAAATCTTCATTAATGGTCAGAAGGTGTTGTCTGATTGTTTTGTTAGTTAGCAGGTAATTTATTACTGATCTGATACACAAACCTGGCACTGTCAAATGATGATTAGTGTTTAATTTATTTTCAGGAAAAAGTGAAGATAACCCATTATCAGCTGCTTATATGTCCCATCGATTTTTGAATTTTCGCCATCCCCAGAGAGGAAGAGAATAGTTGGAAAAAGGGGGATTTCGAAGAAAGGCAAAAGGCAGGACCATTTCAACAAATTGTGTTAACTTATATGCGTTGCAATATTAATTTGCAGTTGTTAGCATAAACATTTAATGTGTCTTTCGACTAGACCTACCACACTTTAAGAAAAAGCTGCCTACACCCCTTTTCACTAGAACCATAATAGGTACTGTAAAATATTTGATAGAAATTACCCCCGAGGCATCATATCTTTCATTTGAAAGGGCTGTGAGGGAATGTACAATCTGGGTTTCCGAAATCTCCGAATAAAATAGATTCTTGAAACGACCTTCCATGTCATTGCGTAATTCCATGTGCAGGGTCGTCCCACCCGTGGCCCGCAGAAGCATTTCGAGTGGCCCGCGCTGTATTTTTCAGAATTGAATAAAAAAATTGAAGTAATGCTATTTTTCGAATGATGTAGTATACAAAGATGTGATACAAACGATTTGATTTTTTTACTGAAATGCACTCTGCCAGCCTTTTCAAACTAGCCATTATTGCTATTTTAAATCGAAAACAACTGGGAGGATATATCGATAAATAAAGATGCCATAGCCGCTTACACACTTGGTCTTTTACTACTCTGTATATTATAACGTTATCGCAAAACAATCGAAGCCATTCTCAGATTGACAATGTATATTATGTATTATATTATTATGGGCACCGACATCAAGTAATTGTGAAAGTTCGGTGTGCGGGTATTGTTTGTTTTTTCAATAACCTGTAATCAGTGTAGCCAAACTAGAACATAAGGCCATATTGAGTGGCCCGCGCAATTATTAGTAAACTACATGTGGCCCTTCGGCTAAAAAGGTTGGACGACCCTGCTCTACAGTCTACTACACGTTCACATCAAGATATGTCTCGCTGAGTGGAGGGAGAAAGCAGCTATCAAGAAAGGAAATTTCACCCTTGATTAGGTACCAATCATGTTTTAATAAGAAGATTACAATTGAATATTAGGAAAAGGAATGATCCCACAAGTTGTTGGGACTCTGCATAAATGCCCTACTGGATGTGGAATTTGTTTAATAGATGATCGGGGCTGAAGCCTGGATATCATTTGGATGCATTCTCAGCACGGTAGACCAGAGGATGTCAAACTCGCACCCCTCGAACACACAACAATAATTATGATATTTTTTATCTTTATTAAAAATGAAATTTTACATAAGTTGATTTGTATAAATTGCAATAATGGTGATATGCAAGAAATTAATAAGTGAATAGCATTTGAAATTAAAGGTAGACTTAAATTTTCGAAGAAAGTTATGTCTCAAATTTACAATAAATTGGGATCTGGTCTTATTACACTGGCTTTGGTTGCTACAGCATTAAAAAAGAAACAATTTCTTATTCAAATTTGTACACAATAATATTTTTCTTAATTTAGAATTCCCAACATAAGTAGGTTCAAAATATATTGCAAGTTGCAACAACATGAGAACACAATTCAACTTTCCCAACCAAGAATGCTTAGCAAAGGTACACTTTGTTTGAACTTCACCACAGCTCTTTTTGTGATTGTATAATCACCATCTGGAATATATTGAGAAAAACATACATGATGAATAAGGTGCAATGCAAATTTTTGAATATATTACCTAGAACAGCGAACAAATCATGGATTGTGTAAAATGGTGGTAATTTTGGGAATGAAAATGATAGCTTTTACAGTCGCGATGAATTGATTTTGCTTTATCAAATATGACATACCTCAATCATCTCATTCTAAATTTTTTTTATTACTCATGCAATCACCTTTAGACTTATAAGGCTTGAATATGTTTCTGTTCTCTGGGTTTTTGATGGCCCGGCTGACATTTGTTAGTTGGTGGCAATAAGTTCACCGAGACTGTTCTTCCTATTTCACAGTCAGATTTAAACTGCATCATTTTCTCTTCTCACTTTCAAATCTCATATGTTGGATGTACATGGAGTATGAATTCTGCTTTCGCATTCGTACCTAAAAGTTTGTAATTTTTTATTTATTCATTCTTCTGCAAATAAAAAATATAGCTCGATTTGATGTTGCAAGTGACAATATTTAATAGTTGCCATTATACAGAAGTTCAGGAAATTGATATGCTAAACCGTTTTTTTTTCTCAAAACTACTGTGTCTTATTGTATTTCCCAGACTTTTTTTTTATTCATTCTAAAATTATATGTGATGTTTCACAGGAATCTTTACCCTCCCTCCCCTTGTTGGACAATATTTTCGAATGACCAGTATTCTCTACCGTTACCTTTTTTTTATTATTTCAATTTTTGACTCATTTCAAATGTTGGTGTCGCAGACTTATGACGACCCCTTCTGTTTCTTGCGATGAAAGCCACCTGCTTTTAAATTACCGCTAAATTCGTTTCTGTATTGTATAAGCTGTGCCTTGAATTTGTGTATTATTTCCTGCATGACGAAATGAACGAAGATAAAAAAAAATTAATCACTGAATTTTCCCGCCTTATGTTTTTTTTCTCTCTCCCAAATGCTACCGTATATGAATATTTATATCACTCCCTGTTTTGTTGGTAATTTGTTGAATGACTAAGTTATCTCTTTGTATCCATTGCTTTTTTTAATTGCAATTTCTACTTCTCTGACTCGTCTTAAATCTAGGTGTCGCTGACTTATGATGACCATTTCTGGTCCTTCGCGATTTCCTGTCAATTGCAATGAAATCTGATACTGTAATGCATAATTTTTTATCTGTTGTGATTTCTGGCACAACGAAATAAACGTATTGTCTATTGTCATAGTTCATGTTTTTAATGTAAATAATATATAGGTTCAGATTCTAATATATAAAATCAAAACGGCAACGAACATTATATATGTTAAACAGTGATGTCATATCGGTGTTCGAAACTTTGTGTCATTTCACCTTGTATCGAAATATATACTATAATAAATGATTGTTTAGAATCGACATGTTTTGTTATTTAATGATTGGAGTCTTTAGGCCCAATGCTATTTTGAAAGGTTTGTCATACTGTATTTTTGTGAGGTTTCCGATTACAACTTATATTCACCTTATGTAGTCAAGTCAGCAACAGCAAACAGACGTCTTTCAGCCTGTGATTTCGCTCCACAAATTTGCCATCAAGTTACAATTTCTTCTAATTTAGGTATGGACTATTATTAAAGGGCTTATATTACAATAATTTTCATAATTCGGACAAGGTTTTATTTTCGGGGAAACGCGGTAGTAAGCAGTGGCATTGACACAACTTGAACTGTATGGCAGGTACCGGACTTCAGTGCTACCAGGTACTGCAGTACTGGTAGCCGGACATCCTATCTAATATAGTCAGCATAGTATATATAGTACGGTACCGTATTTTATACTTTCGAAAAGGAAACGCGGTAGTAAGCAGTGACATTGACACAACTTGAAGAACTGTATGGCAGGTACCGGACTTCAGTGCTACCAGGTACTGCAGTACTGGTAGCCGGCCATCCTATCTAATATAGTCAGCATAGTATATATAGTACGGTACCGTATTTTATACCTTCGAAAAAGATATTACGAGTTCCACCTGATCCAGTACACTCCAGGTGCAACATTGACCCTCAACCAAGCAACAGCTCAAACTCGCGAATGAAAAGCGAAACCGCCGCGTCCCCCAAGAGTGAGGTAAAAACAGTGTCTGGCAGCAGCCGTCACGCTCCGATGGTTCGTATGAAAGTCCGTAATTGAAGGGTGATATAACAGTTTTGTGCTTATGGACCTTTCCCCGGGCATCAACTTCCTTGTTTATTCCGTGACATTGGCCAATCAGCAAGATGCAAAAAGTGACGTAACAATGCCCCCTTTTCGCATCCGATCAGACACTTTTCTCACTCAGACAGATTTTCAAGCGTGGTTGTAAACATTACCTCGTTTTCGCATTTTTGAACTCTATTCGTTAGTTTTCAGTTGTGTTTCGGAAACTTGAATAAAAATCAGATTATTCAATGATCACTCTGTCTTCTTAGGAGTTTTAATTTAATTGCAGTAATAAAAATTAGTGTAGAAATAGCTGTGATAGACTAGTCTGAAATTCTTTACCGGTACTTTTAAAAAACAGATTGTTGTGTGCGATGAATCCTAATGATGGTTTGAAACACATACCCAATTTTACAGGCGCCAACTCGCAAAAGCACTCCTAAAATAGCCCTGAAAATTCTGCAATGGTAAAGTATAGGAAGAATTTTCCGGGGGTCAAAGGTCGGGGAAAGGTCCATTGAAGTGTGGTGGCGTGAAACATGGGAAAGTCCTAAATTCCACACAGAGAACAATGATTAGGTTTATAGACAGGCTGTGGGAGAAATACATCACGATAAGCAGTAAATTCAAATATATTTGACGGCAACTTAGGATACTGAGTGGAGAGCATCCCGGCGGTTTGATCGCCTATGCAGTTTTATTTTACGTTGTCGTAATAAAATATACTCGGCTGATAAAATTGACCAGGACAAATATGTTGACAAAAAATGTTAGATCACGTATTCATATAAGCTTGAAAATATAACGAAACGAGTGTTCCATGTCACTTGCATAGGTTTCGGTAACAACTAATGCTAATTAAAAACTAAGTTATGTTCAATTTATGTAACATTTTTTGTAAATAGTTCTCATGCCTGCAAACATTTATACATAGGTGCAAGATGGTACGCGAACTAAGAGAAATAAGCAATATCAACCGAGTCATTGAGTTGAGGTCCAAATCGTCTGACCAACTAGATTTACATTATTAAACACTGTGATAACGATGAAAATTTCTATGGTGCCCATTCCGTGATGCTTTATGCGCGCTGCTTAAAGATAACTAGCAGCACCCCAGATAGCACAACTACGTCGGAACAACCATGTTCCATCGAAGATTTGGCCGCTGGGCCAACGTCGGTCCTTTCGCTGTAATGCAACCGTGGCAAACGGTCGGGCCAACGTAGGCGATACGTTGTAACACAATCGTGAAATATGGCCGGTCCAACGTGGGCGATACGTTGTAACACAATCGTGACATATGGCCGGGCCTACGTAGGTGACACGTTGTAATACAATCGTGGCACATGGTCGGGCCAAGTTAGGCGATGTGTTGTACAGACAGGGTATGGATCTATACTACATAGAAATTTCCCACTAATCTAACATTATTTATATAATAAAAAACAAAATGTCTTTATTTTACAAATATATATACATGTAATAAAATTAATCGGAGTTCGTTGCCAGATCATCCAGAGTTGAAAAATATGAAAATTCTGTGTTAAATTGCAGTATTAGCAAATTACAGCACCAGAGTTCAAAGCCTAGTCTGAATGACTGCATCCCAAAATATTTTCAGAGTAGGAATCTTAAGCCAAGTTTCTGCAGTCGCAAATGTGTGAGTGAAGCTTACATTGACAAGACAATAATAATTGAGAAATACAGAAATTCTTGATCCCGCAAGGGGGGCGTAGACAATGTTTTGAGGGGAATATTTGTTGGAGGGAATAATATAAGTATACCGGTAAGTTTATTTCGACTCCATAATCAGCATAACAATACATTTGACAGATAAAAACAAATAAATAAAAACTGATTATGAAATCAGGGGAGCAAACAAAACCTTAGATAAGGTTTATAACGTACAAAATATAAGATGGAAGGTTTTGCCAAGAGGAAGTGGTACGTGTTTACTCACCTAAAATTATTAAGCTATTTCACACACGCTCACATGCACCCACCAGCCACACACACACACAACCACTGAGAAGTTATTTGAGTAAGAATAAAACGCGATAAATTTAGGGTATACTATACAGTAAACAAAAAAAATAAATAAATACTAGAAAAGAAAATTATCTGCCACACCATATTGATATTTTTGTAATGGTTGTCATTGCCAAATTGATCAATCTTCTAATCGTTAATTAAGATATAAAAGGAAGATTCTATTGAAAACATATTGCCAAGCTGATTATAGTTGGAGTCAAATGCCAAGTTGCCCAACCAAAGTTGCCAGAATTGGGTGCATGAAGAGGTGGGCGAGACTATTTCATTCCCCAAATTAGAGCCTATTATTGCCAAATTATAGTCCAGATTGTAATAAGTAATTAAAGTTACCGGTAACAGTAAAATTACTATAATTAAGTAAAGTAGGATGTGGAAATAAATTGGTTACAAAGGGTGTAAGTGAGGTTTTTCATTCTTGGGGTATTGATTTCAGACAAGGATATAGGAATAAAGTTGTTATTTCACAGGATATCGAAGTCTTTTTTTGATTTTTTCCTTATGTGTTTTACTTCATTTAATCACTTTGAAGTAACCTGATGATGATTTGAGATTTTATCTGACTAAAATGTCTTCAAATATTCCTTGTTGAAATTCATCTATCTTATTAGAAACATCATGCACCATGATTAGTCTATTTGTTTCATTGATTTACAATAAATTTATTTGTAACTTCATCATTTGCTGTTGTGCTAGGGGGAATGATAATGTAAAAAGTACTGTAAGGGAGCGATGATACAAATAAGTTCGAAAACCACTGTTCGCCATTATGCACCAAACTCTGGCAACATTGGATTGGCAATTTGGCACTTGACTCTAACCATAATCAGCTTGGCGATATCTCCTTAATAAATATTTTTCTATACTGTTCACTTTTGTATACAAAATCTACATTCAATTTCTTTACTGTTCACAGTTGTTTACAAAATCATTATTCAATTTGACAATCATAATGATAAAAATGAATGGTGTGGCAACTGGCAAGTACATTTTGTTTACTACCCAACTTATCTAAATTTTCTCGCCTGTTTTTATTTTATTATATCTCTGTTGTTGTTGTGTAGTGTGTAACTTAATTTAATTCATGAACACGATAGGCATCTTTTGGGAAAAACCTTATATTCTTTACGCTTCAATCTTAATTAAGGTTTTGTTTTCACTCCAGATTGTCAGATTCTATTTAATCAATTTTTGTTCATTTCCCTTATGAATTATCTTTAGCTGATTTGGAGTCAAAATAATCTTATACTTATAAAATAGAAGAGGGTAGAGCAGAGAAAGATGGTGGTACAATATGATAAACATATTACATACCGGTACCTTTAATAGCAGAAACTAAGGGCGTCCCACTCACTCCTTCCACCGCGTCCTGCACAGTTGAAAGAGCGGGCGAGTAAATTTGTTATAACTGAGCTCATGATTCTCCAATCCAGTCTTTCTTGGAGCAACCTCCAAGACTTGACAAATATCTTATCTGAAATGAGTAAATAAGCACAATTATACGAATACATCTAATGAAAAGGTTTCCATCCGTTGCAAAAGCTCTATGTTAAATTATCGCGAGTATCTACTCTAAAATATACACATATGTGTTTTGTCCACATCCCATTCGTATAAAATGAACAATTTTAATATTGCAATCAGATCGTATTTAGACATTTAAATAATCTTCCTTGAACACGAAGCGAAAATATGGGGCATATTGTATTTCATACATAAATTTGAAGCGCTTCATGCAGTCAAAAACAAAACGACAAAAAATAAAAGGCACTCAATAAGATGAGACCCAGCAAAGGTATCTTCACCTATTTTACTTTCATGTTCTGTTTAGCTTTCCAATTAATTATGGAGTAATCTGCAATATTTTAACATTGTACTAAAACTAAACAAATATTCTGAATCTCAGAGATTTTTACATCGTGGTCTTCATACGGTGGCATGTGTTACCGGTCAGCGAACTCTTAAATTAATTTTGCTTGCCCGCTGGGGTAAAAAGTTGGGAACCACTGAACTAAACAGTTAAGTACAACCACGTTACACCAACGCCCCGCAAACTTACAGTCGATTTTCATCAGAATGATTGAATAGAATAAATTGATTTTTAATGTTTTCTCGTTGTGGGGTCGCAAGTATCTGTAGTCTGTGATTTTACAAAAATTGGGGTCGCGGAAAAAAAAGTTTGGGAACCACCGCCGTAAAGTGTATGTAATCAGCCTATAAAAGTATTAAACTTAAGCCTATAAAAACTTAGGAGCCATTTTTTCATCCTTGAATGTTTTCTGGATCAAAATGTAATCAGACAATGAATTGACAATGAATTTCATCAATTCCGGTATTTCCGAGTCCACACTATAATCAGTGGAAAGTTGCAGATGCTGTAGCTTGTAGCATAAGAGTTTCTACCGCCTGTCCCAACAATTTTTCCATGGACTGGATTGGAGCATGGCTTGATCTCTGAAAATCAAGTTAGTGTTACACAATATATAGTACATGATTGTCTTTCAGATGATAAACGTGAACGAATGGCCTATACTAATTACCAGAATATAAATTTTTCATTAATATTAATTACCGTACTTTCCGGCGAATAAGACGAGGCCTGTTTTTAAGCCTAAAAAAATGGGTTTTTGCATATAACCGGCCGATAAGTCGGGGTAGTAAAATCGCATCAACGTCGGGAATCTCAAATTACCATGCAATGCCTTTCGAGCGGTCGCCGCGTTTGTGCATTGGTTAAAATAGCCTATGACTTTTTTTTGCAGCGTAATATTCAGTCCATATATGATAATGCAAATATGATAATCACAGCATTGAAATTTCAGATTCACAGCACGAGAATGTCGATTTAATTAAGCTAACCTGATGAGGACGTGGGGGATGCTATCGCCGAAGGTATTTTATTGTCCGGATCCAATAATAGGACAACAAAAAATGAAAATGATCATACTCGCCTAATAAGACGACCCCCCCCCCCCCAAAAAAAAAAAAACCGGGCTAAAAATTTGGGTCTAGAAAAGCGACTTATTCGCCGGAAAATACGGTATTAACCACATGATGTTGTACTAGGTAATTATTCAACCGATATATCTAGCTATTGTGCAATATTTTATGGCACAGATATGCAAGGAGCTACTATCAAACTATAAAACAAAAACACCTGTTTTGGGCATTGTCCGCATTGAAACATTGAGATGCTTGAAATGACACAGTGTATGATTGCGTGAAAGAGGGAATTGAAGCAGGTGAATTTTCCAGTCCATTGTCATAGGGCCTATTATAAAAATGGTATGTATATATCATTAAACTTACAATGGTAATATTGACACTTGACAGAATATCTAATCGGTAATAATTATTTAGAACCGGAAAAAAATGGATATTACACAAAATATCTCCAAATATTTGTAAAGGATGTGTCGTACAATACTTCATGCTTTTAGAGTCGCTGGGCATTGCACAGTTGCATGCACATTTGGCAGTCATTGTACAGAGATGGGCTTCCCCCCAATCGCCCGAATCTTTTTTGCTAGCGGTCTACTTTCCAATTCACTTTAAAATATAATAACACTGAATTAAGGTTGATTGGGTAAGCTTACATAGCATACATACTGAAAATAAATCATATTAATACATATGATTACCCAATATAACTCTATTGAATTTTAAAACAAAATAGATATTATTCAAAAATCAGTAATTTATTTCTCAACAAAGCTGAAAATATGAACTAGAACAGGGTTGGGCAAAGTTCTCGGACCACGTGCAAAAATTTTGCGCACCTAGACTGGCGGGCCATGTCGCATCTCGCATGTGTGGCGTAAAAAGTTATACTTTAGAAACAAAATTTTATCTAAAGTGTTACAAAAACAAAAAGGGAAAAACAATAATCCTTGAGCTATTTTTTACCCAAAAACATCAAATTTTAGTTTCTGTTTGATTGTGGCAATTGTTAAAACATATTTTAGATTTCAGCCAATTGAGATCTGTATTTAGATTTGTTGAAATTCATCAGACAGGAGGTTCACAAATGTACAACTATTCAGATTACTGGATTAAGTCGTTCAACGGGTTGTATTTGGGCTGCGGAAGTGTTTGCACTTAGACAAATAAAGTAAATATAAAAAATCATATCCAGGGATGAAGGACCAATACCGGTATCGGTACCGGTACTCGATAACGAATACTGGTAAATGAGAGATGGCAACCTCAGAAAGTTTAACAAAAAAATGCCAAAAGATCAAGTACAGTAACGTACGGTACGGTACCTCATCTCGTTCTGTCGTTACCGGTACCGTACCTACGGTGTCCAGGGATAAATATGTAACTTTTACCGGTATCTACCATAGGTACCGGTACTCGATAACGAATACTGGTAAATGAGAGATGGCAACCTAAGAAAGTTTAACAAAAAAATGCCAAAAGACCAAGTACGGTACCGTACCTCATCTCGTTCTGTCGTTACCGGTACCTACGGTGTCCAGGGATAAATATGTAACTTTTACCGGTATGGTACCCTATCACCCTTATGAACCGTGATCTGACAACGCACTCAGGGTACCGGTACCATGAGATTAACTTACACGGTTACAACTAGGCTATCTCTACTTTCGCCATTCTACTATGAAAGCATTAAAAGTTCAATGTCACTGCCCCATCCACGGCAAAAACCTCGTAACAGGCTATCGATTACGAGTACCGCCAAAATGAATGGCGACCTCATGTGCTATATTCGAATCGCGCGCCCATTTCTTCGCATAATTACCGACATTCATAACCTTTGACCTGTCGCTACTTCCGCATTACTTTTGTGGAATCGAGGTGACCGCGGTTTTCTTGAATTTTTCTTGCGAAAAATAACTCGCGTTGGCGTCTCTGCTGCGGAAAAGATATTAATTAATGTTTCTGGTTTCTTGATATTATCTTTTTTTTTAATATGTCTCGTTGACTTGGCCTGTAAATAAGTTGCATGTGAACAATAATTCTGAAAAAAATGTGGAAAATGGTTGTACCAATAAATATAAAATGACTGGGCAAACCTGAATTTTTTGTATAGGGAGCATAGCCGCAGATGTCCTTTTTCCTCGCTTGTGCCACTGCATGGGTAAATTCGTAACCTGAGTTTCAAGAATTGCATTGCCTGTTTTTGTAATATTTATCAATTGGTATAAAATTGCAATTACATGGGAACATATTCCAGATTTGCCAATAAGGCAATCACAATATGCCGAATGAGGAATTCCAAGTTTGACTTTCAATATGGCCACTCTGGTCACAAGATTGTTGTATGAACTTCTGACGTGTGCTCGGATATACAGGTTTTCTTTTGCTGCCAGGGTCCTAATTGTAACAATCTGAAAATACGAGCTATACTTTGAAATACAGTATATCAAATAAAAACTCTCAATCAGTAATTACCAAAACAAAATTAATCTCACCTTTTGACTTTTAAACAAGGAATAACCTTTTTGTAACATGCTCTTCTGACCTGCCACTATTGCTGATCGCTTTGACTGTATGTAAGTGTAAAGCTGTCTTTCTGTGAGTGGAGGATAACATCCAACAACCCACACACCACTAATACTATTCACCTCGTCTACAGGCAACTTGCGGTTGAAAATTCCTTTGTCCTTTTTTAAGGTGTCATACTTACGGCGATATCGATTAAGAAGCTGAGCATGTTTGGAGTATAAAGTAACACGATTTTGCAACTCGTTATTCGTTCCAGACACTTTTTGCCCGATGGAAGCAAGAAATTCTTTCGAAGTAATTGGATCAGACATATTACTTACTGACTTAATAGACATATATTCTGCAGAGTTGCAATTTCATAAGTCAGTGTGCAATGTTAAATATTCCTATATGAGAGAGCTACATCTCCTTCCCTACACTGGCAAGCGATTCGTCTTTTCTCACATTTTCTGCTACCAGATTGCTGACATTAATATACATAATAAGAGCTTACTTACCTGATTCTGTAATTATCATGCTACGAATGAGGATGAGAGGGTATTGAGTTCTCATTTGTAGCATGATAATGACAGAATTCATATGTCAATACTCAATTGGTTAGTGCCGACTGATATCAGTTGTAAGCCAACTCACCACGGCAAGGTTTCAGTCATAGAGTTGGAATTTCTTTTATGCAGAAGAAAACCAGGAACAGATAGGCACTGTCGCTGCACCTGGCAAAGAAACTGGGAAAAGCATTCAGAAATCGTTTGATTTATTAATTAGGTAACGGTGCCTTTTTCGGGTATATTTTGTCAATACCGTAACTAGACTAGGTACTAAATATACGTAAAGGTACGGTACCGGTACCCCTACCTACTCTTCGCAACACCCAGATATCTGAACGTTCCAGCATTCATACCCATGGCCTTGTATACCGGTACTCAAACATTTTCAGTAACTGTCAGAGTTGACAACTCTGTTCAAAACACAGTACAGTATAACAGTTTCAGCACAGTGACATCTCTGAACATTAAGATCTTTTCCGAATCAGACACGCCAACGCGAGTTACCGTATTTTTCGCAAGAAAAATTTAAAAAACCCGCGGTCACCTCGATTCCACAAAAGTAATGCGGAAGTGGCGACAGGTCAAAGGTTATGAATGTAGGTAATGGCGTGTTTCGTTGAAGGCCAATCATGGCCTTACCATGGTAAATGGTTGTGAAACCGCGTACAACGGTTGCCGGCGGATTATAACGTTGGCCCAACGTAGTTGTGCTATCTGAGACACCCTTCCGCACAAGAGGCAGTCGATTTGATTATTTTATGTTAAAGAAGTTTACCTGAAATTTGCCACACAACTAGAACTTAAGTCTTTTATTTTAGAATCTGGGGTATTCTCATAGCGAAAATGACCTTATTTGGAAAAAATTAAGTATATCGAAAGAATTTAATTTATTCAATCAATTTTTAAGATTAAGCAATAAATATGAAATTTGACTCTTTTCAAATCCCAAAACTATGTCAACGAGAGTAAGGCATAATTGTTTAATATTAATAATGCATAATATATACATAACTTTCATAATGATTGAATTGCTGGCAAAAATTGCTCCTATGTGTAATCAATTGATTTGAATACCATATTCGAAGTTCAATAGATTAAATCAGGGGTCGGCAATTTACGGCCCGCGTAGTAATATAATCCATACCGCGACGCTTAACTGAATATCGCCTTATATCGGAATATATCTGAATATCGGAATATCTTGCCCGTGGAATATATATATATATATCATATACTCATACTGTCACATTTATATTTAACTGGCGTTTGTATAGGTCTATATTACAGTATTTATAGCTTATCTACCAATACACGATGTGTATTACTCGACAAGATTAAAACTCTCTGTGACTTTCTAAGAAGACAACCCGTGTCATTGAATATAATATACTAATGCAGTGGTGCTTAAACTTTTTGAGCCGCGCCCGCCTTTGAAAAATTTTACAAACTTCGCGCCCCCCCCCCCCCTATTTTTGCTTTAAAAAAATGATTTTGTGATGGACAGGTATATATTAAGATGGCGCTGTAGGAGTGTTGGTCTCATAGCGTCATTGCTCAGATTGTTTAGGCATAAAACGCTTCGGAGTACAACTTCGCCATTCACTGTCGTATGTATAAAGCTAAATAATGGTTGGTCATCATACATATTACATTCTCGTTTTTTCCCTCAATTTGCAATACCTGGTAAAGTCAAACTAATTTTTAAGTAAAACTAAACACGCAATAAACCTCTGCTTTAATGTATTTTCTGCTTAAATGGATACATAAGACGCGTAAAATTTCAATCAATTGTTTAATTCATCACTATTGAGCGATGCCAAAATTATTTACTGTGTGTTAAAAATAAGCAACAATTACAGACTTCTTGGCTTGTCTAACGTTTCAAACAAAATGGAAAAGTACAAATGAATTTATGTGAATTTAAAAGCAGTTCATTTTTTAATAGTTATGCATGTGGACGTTTCCCCGGCCCTTGACCGCTGAAAAATAAAGTCGCCAAGGCGTTTGCGATTGCATCTTGTTTAAATCTCGAGTGTTTTCGTAAGCGTGGCCTGCTATTTGAGCCGTAAAAATCTTGATTTTGGTTTTTATTCTCCCTAAATCAGAAATTTCCCTCGACATATTCTTGTGTCGCGAAGACGATTATAATTACTTTTTTTGTTTTCGAATAGAACCATGACACCTCTGAGGAAAACGAGTTAGTTTTTATTATATAATCATTAGCGACGAGATGCTGAAGATAGAATAAAGTAGTGAATCTGCAACCAAATATTTCTTTATTGTAAAAGCGAGTTATAAAATACTAAAAATAAAACGGAAAACATCATGAGTTTTGTTTTGGGGTGGACCACGACAGATTAAAAACACTTTCTTAGACATTGCAAATCTTATAAATTCCTTGTGCCTGCGGCACACCAGTAGTGTTCTAAAACTACCGACTTGAAATATATTGTACTCCGCGGAATTTTATCGCAGACTAAGGAATTTCTGTAACGATGTTAAAATTAATCGAGCATTGCGATAGAGCGGAGCAAGAGTTGCAGGGACAGCTCATAATGGTGAAATTGGCAGGAATATAAATCAAAACAAAATGTAATCGGGCACTTTGCCACACATTTTTATGGTTGCGGATTACCGCGGTATTTTGGAGTAGTGGTGCTTTTATTTTATTTTATTTATCACAATTAAATGAATAAAGCAACCATTTTAAATGAGTATATCGGTCATGGATTAAATATTTTATTCAACACGAAAACCATTACATATTCGTTGACAAAGTCGGCTCTTATAACGACTGGCGTATTCTCGAGGACTGACTCAGGATTCGTACCGCGGGGTTTTCGAGTCGATGAATATGTATTGTAATTGTACTAAATTAAGTATACTTTCTTGGATATTATACCAGATCTTTCTAATGAAGACAACGAATTCGCATGCGTGCAATATATATCAAAATTAAATATAATCGGGCAGTTGATCACACTTTAAGATGTCCGCGGATTGGCGCGGTATTTTAGATCGGTAATGAGTTTATTTTGACATGAGTCAAAACTCGCAACCGCGAGTTACATTGAACACAAATGAATTAAAATAGAGAGACATTTTGAATTCTTGTAGTTATTACGCGACAGAAAAATTTATTATACCGCGAAAAATCCGGTATTTTAACGAACGCGGAGACCGTTTCAGGAGCCGTTACATGTAAATTTCCGATTCCATCTTGTGACCTCTCGCGCCCCCCTAGGGGGGCGCGCCCCCCCAGTTTAAGAACCACTGTACTAATGTATCGGTAATGAATATAGAAATGAATATTACACAATATAATTCCCGCATTTGCAAAACCTGATCCAGTATTTTGGCATAGATTGCTGATGTACCAAAAATTACGTAAGGTCAACGTAACATTAGAATTAAATTGTGAGGAGTGAATACCCGAATCTAACACATCTTTCACCACGTTTTTGATAAGATGAATCAAATGGGAAATAAGGGGCTATACATTTAGCCGATATTGATACGAATGCCGCCGATATTGCCGGTACCGACAAGTTCAAAATTACCCCTTTCTGCTATATATACGTAATTTTTCCGATTAAGCTTCTTTTTGGTTTCGAGAATACCTTAGATCAGTGGTTCCCAAACTTTTCAGAGTTAGGACCCACTATTTATTACCACAGCTTATGGCGACCCACTTAACTTTAATTTATTTTATTTTTTTTTATGACATAACACAGCACACAGCAATGGCTAATCAGTGCAAAACTACCGTGTTTCCTCGAAAATAGCACCTGGCCTGAAAAAAAGATAATAATTTGTATTTTCAAAATGATTTTAATTAAACCCTACCCTTAAAATAAATTTAAAATGTGTGGGAGAGGAAAGGTTCATTGGCCTGAGGTAAGGTGAAGATCACACGACTATTCAAGATCGCGTGATATCACAATTATGATATTTGTTACTTGATTTTTGTATAAGAAATACAAATAGAAACAATGGATGTCGGTTTTTATATAATGTTTATTAAAAAATCTTGTGATTTTTCTACAATGTGATTTTATTTTTGATAAATGAACACAAAAGACCTCTTCCAAAAACAACCATAGTGATATTCTTCAAAAGAAAATAAATTTAAATCCTGTTTAAATTTCGAGGAAACACGGTAAGAAGTGCTGTACAGTGTACAAAACTGCTATGCGTAAAAAAGCCACATGGTCATTTTTTGTGCAGCAAACTTTTGTGCCTTTGGAAAGATCGTAAAAAGGAAACTTTCACAGATTAGAATTTAAATTAAATTTAATTTCTTTTATTATTTTGAAGATTTACGTATTCCAGTCGCTACCGATCCTAATAATCAGTATAATTATCCAAAGCTTTCTACATCTTTCCACGACCCACTAAGATTCCTTTTGAGACCCCCCCCCCCCCCCCCTTTTCAAGCTTTTATTATTTATTTTTTGCTATATAATTGTTATTTTTCCTAAATTATAAACATATTTCCCATAATAGTATGCTAATTTCGTTTATCTTCATTTTTTCGGGTGTAGATTCTGACACGCCTCCATTTCTGCCGTGAATATTAACCTTTCCGCTTCGCCGCACACAAAGGTCAAATTGCTGCTAGCTTTACAGTGGTCTATGACTTGATTCTCCAAGAACATTTCTTCCCATCAGCTGGAGAGAGATACAAAACTTCTCACTGAGAGATGATATTTAAACTTATATGGTTGAAGAATGTCATATGGTGGTGATAGGACTGGGAGACGTGTGTGCCTTCCGGTAGGCATCGTATTCCGTGGTTCATAGACTA